AAAACACCTTCCACCTTACAGAAGGAGTGCAGACAGATCATTGTGATTGGCCAGTAGTAGCTACACCATGAGCTGGATAGGCGGGAACCTTCACAGACACGCTGGGACTTGTAGTTCCCCAACAGCCGGTTAACCTTTGTCTTCAGAAGCACGCCGCGGTCCCGGGACACGTCTGTCACCATAGCCTACGTGACCCGTGACATTGTTTGCATGCCGCGTTCTCCGGTATCATCACAGTCACCCGACCCCTGGGAAAAGCCGCCGCCGCTTCTATATATATAACCAGATATGTTTCCATGACCATCACAAAGCGGAGATCTCCTGTTCCCTCAGCAGGGGGCGCTGTCTGCAGGAGAGGTGCAGCTAATCCTGTAACCTGACCGGCCCGCACTTATAGCAGGTGAGTCAGCAGGGATGGGGGCAGCGGTCCGGTTTGGGGGGGTTTGCGTGCCGAAGAGGGACACTCAGGTCCGTCCTGTACGGAGGATTAGCCAAAAGTCACCCCGTACTTCAGCAGATTTCAAAGTGGACCTGCAGGTGTCAGGGACGGCAGTATCATGAAATCATGAAAAGGTCCAAATTGTATCATTAAAAAGCCGTCCTTGGGTCTAGTCCCCTTAGATGATATCATCAGTCTGCTGCAGGCAGGAGGAAGCATTTTCCCAGTCTCCATATCCCCCAGTGATCAGTGCTGCAGGCAGGAGGAAGCATTTCCTCCGCCTCCCCTCCCCCACTGATCAGTCTGCTGCAGGCAGGAGGAAGCATTTCCTCCGCCTCCCCTCCCCCACTGATCAGTCTGCTGCAGGCAGGAGGAAGCATTTCCTCCGCCTCCCCTCCCCCACTGATCAGTCTGCTGCAGGCAGGAGGAAGCATTTCCTCCGCCTCCCCTCCCCCACTGATCAGTCTGCTGCAGGCAGGAGGAAGCATTTCCTCCGCCTCCCCTCCCCCACTGATCAGTCTGCTGCAGGCAGGAGGAAGCATTTTCTCAGTCTCCCCTCCCCCAGTGATCAGTCTGCTGGAGCTAGGAGGAAGCATTTCCTCAGCCTCCCCTCCCCCAGTGATCAGTCTGCTGCAGGCAGGAGGAAGCATTTCCTCAGTCTCCACATCCCCCCAGTGATCAGTCTGCTGCAGGCAGGAGGAAGCATTTCCTCAGTCTCCCCTCCCCCAGTGATCAGTCTGCTGGAGCCAGGAGGAAGCATTTTCCCAGTCTCCCCTCCCCCAGTGATCACTCAGACCATACATTGTAACTTTGCAGCAAGTCACAAGGTGAGAGGCTGCAGCGGGGGGCTGATCTGTGTCGGACATTTGCGAACACAGCCAAGAACTGCAGATGACATGCAGTTCTTGGCTGTGATTGTGTCATCCCTGAGGCGGCATCTCAGTCCAGGAAGTAGATGGTGACCCTGGATGATGCCAGAACAATGATGGTGCCGTCCTTCTGCAGATGAAGGCATTGTCAATCTCTCTAACAGAGACAAAACCAGGACCAGCGGGGCGCGGAAGGGTAAGAACCCGACAGGATTGTTTCGCTGTCTGTGTCTCTGCTGGGGAGATCGACTTTCTATATTGGTGTCACGGGGCAGATAATGATATGCAGAGGAGGCGTGGCCAGTCAGAGGTTTCTTCCATCAGTATATGACTGGTGAGCTCACCCCACACCTCACCATCTGATTGTACAATCTGCCACCTGTGCAGAGCGAGGTCCTGATTGGCTACACGAGGATTGGATAGATGAGGAAGGTCCTCGTGACGTAGTTCTGGATTGTACGATGATTGCATGGTGGCCCTTAGTTGCAGTTGGACCCTATAAAGTGTGTATCGGATGACGTCGGAGGTTGTGTTCTGGGGTAGGTTCGGTGTTGGAGGTGACGGGTGGAGGCAGATGGTGTGCAGTGCCGGCCTGCGATCAGGAGTGACTCGGGATGACGGAAGTGTCTCAGATTAGATCTCCGTCCTCATTCCAGGAGCCTGGAGACCGTCCACACACATGACTGGGCGGAGTCACTGAACCCAACTACTGCCGCGGCTGGGGGGAGACTTCCAGGAACCAGGCGAGCTCCTCACCTGTTATATGGATGGAGCTCCTCCTACATCCCGGGAACCCCATGAGGTCCTCACCTGTTATATGGATGGAGCTCCTCCTACATCCCGGGAACCCCATGAGGTCCTCACCTGTTATATGGATGGAGCTCCTCCTACATCCCGGGAACCCCATGAGGTCCTCACCTGTTATATGGATGGAGCTCCTCCTACATCCCGGGAACCCCATGAGGTCCTCACCTGTTATATGGATGGAGCTCCTCCTACATCCCGGGAACCCCATGAGGTCCTCACCTGTTATATGGATGGAGCTCCTCCTACATCCCGGGAACCCCATGAGGTCCTCACCTGTTATATGGATGGAGCTCCTCCTACATCCCGGGAACCCCATGAGGTCCTCACCTGTTATATGGATGGAGCTCCTCCTACATCCCGGGAACCCCATGAGGTCCTCACCTGTTATATGGATGGAGCTCCTCCTACATCCCGGGAACCCCATGAGGTCCTCACCTGTTATATGGATGGAGCTCCTCCTACATCCCGGGAACCCCATGAGGTCCTCACCTGTTATATGGATGGAGCTCCTCCTACATCCCGGGAACCCCATGAGGTCCTCACCTGTTATATGGATGGAGCTCCTCCTACATCCCGGGAACCCCATGAGGTCCTCACCTGTTATATGGATGGAGCTCCTCCTACATCCCGGGAACCCCATGAGGTCCTCACCTGTTATATGGATGGAGCTCCTCCTACATCCCGGGAACCCCATGAGGTCCTCACCTGTTATATGGATGGAGCTCCTCCTACATCCCGGGAACCCCATGAGGTCCTCACCTGTTATATGGATGGAGCTCCTCCTACATCCCGGGAACCCCATGAGGTCCTCACCTGTTATATGGATGGAGCTCCTCCTACATCCCGGGAACCCCATGAGGTCCTCACCTGTTATATGGATGGAGCTCCTCCTACATCCCGGGAACCCCATGAGGTCCTCACCTGTTATATGGATGGAGCTCCTCCTACATCCCGGGAACCCCATGAGGTCCTCACCTGTTATATGGATGGAGCTCCTCCTACATCCCGGGAACCCCATGAGGTCCTCACCTGTTATATGGATGGAGCTCCTCCTACATCCCGGGAACCCCATGAGGTCCTCACCTGTTATATGGATGGAGCTCCTCCTACATCCCGGGAACCCCATGAGGTCCTCACCTGTTATATGGATGGAGCTCCTCCTACATCCCGGGAACCCCATGAGGTCCTCACCTGTTATATGGATGGAGCTCCTCCTACATCCCGGGAACCCCATGAGGTCCTCACCTGTTATATGGATGGAGCTCCTCCTACATCCCGGGAACCCCATGAGGTCCTCACCTGTTATATGGATGGAGCTCCTCCTACATCCCGGGAACCCCATGAGGTCCTCACCTGTTATATGGATGGAGCTCCTCCTACATCCCGGGAACCCCATGAGGTCCTCACCTGTTATATGGATGGAGCTCCTCCTACATCCCGGGAACCCCATGAGGTCCTCACCTGTTATATGGATGGAGCTCCTCCTACATCCCGGGAACCCCATGAGGTCCTCACCTGTTATATGGATGGAGCTCCTCCTACATCCCGGGAACCCCATGAGGTCCTCACCTGTTATATGGATGGAGCTCCTCCTACATCCCGGGAACCCCATGAGGTCCTCACCTGTTATATGGATGGAGCTCCTCCTACATCCCGGGAACCCCATGAGGTCCTCACCTGTTATATGGATGGAGCTCCTCCTACATCCCGGGAACCCCATGAGGTCCTCACCTGTTATATGGATGGAGCTCCTCCTACATCCCGGGAACCCCATGAGGTCCTCACCTGTTATATGGATGGAGCTCCTCCTACATCCCGGGAACCCCATGAGGTCCTCACCTGTTATATGGATGGAGCTCCTCCTACATCCCGGGAACCCCATGAGGTCCTCACCTGTTATATGGATGGAGCTCCTCCTACATCCCGGGAACCCCATGAGGTCCTCACCTGTTATATGGATGGAGCTCCTCCTACATCCCGGGAACCCCATGAGGTCCTCACCTGTTATATGGATGGAGCTCCTCCTACATCCCGGGAACCCCATGAGGTCCTCACCTGTTATATGGATGGAGCTCCTCCTACATCCCGGGAACCCCATGAGGTCCTCACCTGTTATATGGATGGAGCTCCTCCTACATCCCGGGAACCCCATGAGGTCCTCACCTGTTATATGGATGGAGCTCCTCCTACATCCCGGGAACCCCATGAGGTCCTCACCTGTTATATGGATGGAGCTCCTCCTACATCCCGGGAACCCCATGAGGTCCTCACCTGTTATATGGATGGAGCTCATCCTACATACCGGGAACCCCATGAGGTCCTCACCCGTTATATAGATGGAGCTCATCCTACATCCCGGGAACCCCATGAGGTCCTCACCTGTTATATGGATGGAGCTCCTCCTACATACCGGGAACCGCATGAGGTCCTCACCTGTTATATGGATGGAGCTCGTCCTTCATACCGGGAACTCCAATGAGGTCCTCACTTGTTATATGGACGGAGCTCCTCCTTCATACCGGGAACCCCATGACTTCCTCACCTCTTATATAGATGGAGCTTGTCCTACATCCCGGGAACCCCATGAGGTCCTCACCTGTTATATGGACGGAGCTCCTCCTACATACCGGGAACCCCATGAGGTCCTCACCTGTTATATGGATGGAATGACCGACTCTCTAATTCATCACTGATTGGTTAGCTCACACACCCAAATTTCTAACCACGCCCACCTCAGACGTGCAGAGCGGAGAACGTTGCCGGACAGAGAGAACAGAGTGACTCGGGGGAGTCCTTAATCACAACTTTATTTCAGAACAATCCAGCCCCGCCCCTGGGAGGAAAGGGGGTGGGGCCATGAGTCCAGGAATTGGTTGCAGTGTCCTTAGTGTCCGTTTAATGCTGGTGGACGGAAGCTGGTCCCGTGTGGCAGGTCGCAGTCCCTCGTCAATCAGGGGATGCCGAGCGGGATTGTGAAGGACAGGTAGTCGCCGGTCGCCCCCCAGCCGGCGCGATGGGTTTGGTAGACGCTGATCCAGGTGGTCAGAATCACCAGCCACACGAAGAGGCCGAACGCCGATCGCTTCACATCTGCCGGAGGAAAGACATCAGCTCAACTCTGCTCAGCCAGTCTCATGATTTACACACCATTACTAACCCCAGGAGCATGCACTCCCCCAATGTTCTGCCCCATCCCCGTGTATACTCCCAGGCTGAGCTCCAACTGGTGCCGACAGTGGCCATCATGTGACAGTGCCGGACCAATCACCAGCAAGGAACAGGCACGTATGTGCTGGTGGGCTCCGACCCGCTCCACCCAGACCCGTATGTACAGAGAGTTCCCCCTCCTCCACCCAGACCCGTATGTACAGAGAGCTCCACCCAGACCCGTATGTACAGAGAGCTCCTCCTCCTCCACCCAGACCCGTATGTACAGAGAGTTCCCCCTCCTCCACCCAGACCCGTATGTACAGAGAGCTCCACCCAGACCCGTATGTACAGAGAGCTCCTCCTCCTCCACCCAGACCCGTATGTACAGAGAGTTCCCCCTCCTCCACCCAGGCCCGTATGTACCGCCTCCTCCACCCAGACCCGTATGTACAGAGAGCTCCTCCTCCTCCACCCAGACCTGAAACTCACAGCTCTGTATCTGAGTCTGCTCCGTGTAGGTCGGCTTGAAGAAAGCTTCCTTGAAGAACCAGAGAACGTTCACCAACCAGAGGAAAGGCAGCAACGCGAATCCGCCTGCAAAACAAAATGTCACCCCCAAATCTGAACTCCGGGAAACTCCTCCCTAATACGGCCCGCCAATCAACTATTGTAGTCATAGGTGGGCGGGGCAGACTGGGATTCTCCCGACATGTCGATCAACTATTGATGTCATAGGTGGGCGGGGCAGACTGGGATTCTCCCGGCTTGTCATTCAACTATTGATGTCATAGGTGGGCGGGGCAGACTGGGGGCCTGTCAATCATCCCCCCGTTAGGGATAGAGCGGTCGGGACAATCATCCCATGGGAACTGCTGTCAGGTGACAACCTGCGACTGACTCAAGAGACGACTTGCCTTACTCGCCATCTATGCCACTCATGCCCCCCCCCCAAATCTCACCCAGATAATACTTCCGGCACAGCTGCAGCTTCTCCTCGTTGGGAACTCGTTCCAGGTTCATCGCGACCAGCAGGAGGGGACGGAGATATAGGAGACACCGCAGGAGGGGAGGAAATTCTCAGACGGACTTTGCTGCGGGTGAAAAGACAACGACGAGAGTCAACGGGAACTAAGAAATCCACACAAAAAAATAACGAGTTGCTGTTCCTGTAATGGTGAGTTGGGGTGCCCTTTCCTCCCCATCCCTAATGATTTTGGCCCCGCCCCTTTCATTCATTGGATTTCAGGTCATGGCGGCTCAGCATCACATGTGGGCGGTCTTCATGCAAATACAGCCTGCCGAGGACCACCCACTCCTCTAAGCTGCCACCCACCCATCAAGTCATTTTGATATTTGCATAACTCCTCCCACTGCTTGTATCAGGGCTGAGTGCTCTGGAGAGGAATACAGAGGCAGGGTGCTGTGATGTGATAAGATGTACAGCACCCTGCCGGCTCCTCCCACCAGCATGATCTGCCTGCATTGCACTGGGACCTCTAAAATAAGATATGCAATAAAAAAGGAAAAGCTTTATTTAAAAATGTCATTAGGACGGCGATGAGGGGGGACAAACCGTATGAAAGCCACAAGGAGCTACACGGAAACATATCTGTGGAGGGGGGCGTGGGGTTAACCGTCCGAGCGCCTGCCAAGTATGGGAAGCGTTTTGCGTTTTAGCGCCGACGGCCTCCGGAGAGGATAGAGATTTAGGAGTGTACTGAGATATGTTGGCCCCGGGCCCCCCTGGCTGTGCCCCCCCCCATTCTTCCCTGCCGAGGGCCGTATTTGGTAATGTTTGGGACACAGCTGTACGACTCGCCGAGGGGCCCGGAATCTGAAACAAAGGGGGCGGACCCCGCTGTTAACCCCTCGGGGGTATCCACAATCACTCCAGATGTCAGAGTCTTGCACTGCCTCATGGGACTTGTAGTTCCACAAAGGCTAAAGTGCCTTTAAAGGGAACCTGTCACATGGGGCAAGGCCTGTCGTATGTTGGACACTGCGGGGGAGAGCCCAATCCGCCGCACGTCCACATACAACAGACCTGGGCCTCTCCAACCCGGGCAACTGGCCAATCAGCAGCCTGGACCCTAAAGCCCCCTCCCGCCAACCATAGGCATATAGATGCACTGCTTCCAACCAGTGTTTACAATCAGGAAGCAGCAGGGCGGGCTCCGATCATGTGATCACTGTTTACAAACAGGAAGCAGCAGGGCGGGCTCCGATCAGGTGATCACTGTTTACAATCCGGCAGGGAGGGCTCCGGTCATGTGATCACTGTTTAAAAACAGGAAGCAGCAGGGCGGGCTCCAATCAGGTGATCACTGTTTAAAATCCGGCAGGGCGGGCTCCGATCATGTGATCACTGTTTACAAACAGGAAGCAGCAGGGCGGGCTCCAATCATGTGATCACTGTTTACAAACAGGAAGCAGCAGGGCGGGCTCCGATCATGTGATCACTGTTTACAATCCGGCAGGGAGGGCTCCGGTCATGTGATCACTGTTTAAAAACAGGAA